TCCCGTACAGGCCTGAAATTTTTTTCAGGTCTGATTTTCACTATTGCTCAAATAGTGCTTTACTGCGAAGGATCGTTCTCATATACGTCTCATAACCGCAGTTCACACATATGTTTCATATGTTTGTTGTTGTTTAAACGCTTTATTGAAGTCTTTATTGACCAAGCTTGTCCGGTAAAGATGGCTGGATACCTTGATAGATTTTCTTGTATGTTAAAATTGAGAGTTAGGAAAAATTTCCATGAAAAATAATGACGGACCATAGGGAGTCAATTTAGTTTGAAAATAGTAACCATCTGACTTACATCCATCTGATAGCCCCTTCAAGGTACATACAGGGCAGGGTGACTAGACTCGCTTTTTCCTCCTTGACTTTAGTTGTTTCGATGTTTTGAAAATTTCCTATACTACAGGGGCTGCGGTTCTATGTTTATTTTATACCTGTTCTCTTGAAAAATATAATTTCATAATAGTTAAAATACTTAAACATCCTCATGATATCATTATTAAGTTGAAGGAGAGACAGGCAAGTTAATTTCATGCGCCAAGATTTTATCGGCTGGTCACGATCAATTTTCTTCACAAAGAGAATTTGACCCTGCTTGTAAGCCATTTTTATTATTTTTCGCTTGATGAAGATATCATGAGAGAAAAAATTGCGTTTTCAACATTTTGGCTCGTAAATGTTTAAACAAATGTTCACTCTCTCAGGAATTTACTGGAAATAGTGACACAGACACAATGAAATACAACTACTTCAAGCAGACATTTGAAACAAGGTTCCTCAGGATATATCCTAAAGCGTATAACCGAGGTGGGTTCAGATGTCTCAGAGTTGAAGTATATGGGTGTAGTGACAATACTGGTAAGTGATTTTAATAGACGCCTACTACAATCATAACCATTACAATTTCCCCAAATGTGACTGGTACATTAGTTGCTTTATTTTCTACTAATCATTTTGCAGAGTTGCGATGGGATCGTTAGCTGTAATCGGACACCTGTGATCGAACAGTTAAATCAGCCCAGCTAAATCCACCAATCACGGAATCGATTTATTTTACCGTAGCAAGAGCCACTTTACCTACAAAACTTGATTGATGATTACGTTTTGGATAATTGATATCGAAAGCCTTTCCTCAAATGAATGTATCTGTTTTTTCGAGAAATGTAAAGGTTATGATTAATAGGTAACAGGACTTTGTATCGCCCAATTTAGTCTGTAATCATATTCGTGATGGACAAATTGGACTCCCGCTTCGCGGTCGGTGTTGTAATCACCCCCTCAGTTCTGTTCCCATTATTACATGATTACTTCTGTAAGGGACATATGATATCACTGAATGTAGTTAAGAGGTTGATTTTGCTTATACCAACAGTTTGACCCTATGCGCGAAAATAAAATAGATACATTTCTTTACACAAATAGAAAAATGTATGTATGTGGGACATAATATCTGACTCTTTCGACTGGATTTCATAATATTTCTTGCCTCTTGTTCACCAGCAAGTAGATGGATCAAACAATTCCACCATTTAAAATAGGGTTCGTGCGTTTTCATGCACACACAAACCTTCTTGTAATAATTCAAATAATAAATCGATTTAATTATGGGTTTCCTGTGAGGATAATGTGTCAGGTAAAGATACAATTAAGATAATGATTGTAAAATTATGACTTAAACTTTCTCAATGAACATTTCCAGAAGTGGACAGCTCAATTCACCACTGCCCCTAGAGAGTAAGAGCTACTTCTGCAGTGTGATTGATCAAAATACATGTAAATTGATACTTTAATTTGCATTTTTTGCAGTTTGCTCCAGTTTCTTCGAGTGGCCCTTTTCAGTAGAATCTTTCGACCTGAAAAATGCTGGAGAGGTGGATATTGGGTCAAATAATAGCTATCAAGCCTGTCAAGTTGTTCCTGGAAGCACAGCATATTATGATTATCAACTGGAAAACAAGTGGGCGCGGGTATCTTCAGAAATCTTCAAAATGGAGAGAGCACATGGCAAACTAAATTTCAAGGTTTCGTATCTATGGTTTTAGAGCGTTTTGTTTAAAGCATGTAGGCTAGGAGCTCACAAATATTGTTATTGCCTTACCGACAGCCCAGTGGCCACCTTCTCATATTCACAAAGGATGTGATGGTCCTCACTGAGCACGGTGCAAGTCAGTCAGTAGATCAATGAACGCTGTAGGGTTCAAATTTGCCTTAAGCCTTATTGAAAGTTAATATGAAGTCTCAAGAGACTACATTATAATATCTTGGAAGTCTTTAAAAATTGGAAGGTGTCTGCGATCTTTGCGAAGTTAAAAATGATCCTTTTTAAGGATCATTAAAATTGCTGATTTGGATTCATTTTTCTGAGAAAAACATCGGAACAATGTTTTCTTGGATCAACTGGTGAATACTCAATTTTTGGCATAACCTTTCGACTTACTGGTGTTACGATCAGAGAATGTCTTAATGAATCTGTGTCTTGCTCATTTTTCTTTGAATTCTGTAGTGGACGATTGGAGCTGACAAGAATCTGTTTGGAAGAATTGTACGAATAATGATCAATTGCAGTTATTCAGCATCTCCATCTCGACCACCCAGGAAAGCTTGTCTTATTTTTAAGTCCTCAGGGCAAATCACTTGTGAGTTCAAGTTATAGTTTCCTTAAAATTGATAACGATTTTCAGCCTTTTAACCTTTTAAAAGTTTAAACAGTATTCGTTAGAGTCGCCACCAGCCAGCTTTTTCATCAACTAATTGTTTCTGAAACATTATAGGTCCACTGTGATAAGACAAAACAACCTGAGAAAATACCTGTTAAGATATGAAATAGTTTTAAGCTTAAATTCTCTTGTATATACCTCAAAAGATGGAATTAAACTGAAAAAAAAAAAAAGAAGAAAAAGAAAAAAAACCAGCACGAAATGCCAACAGAGTGGATACTGGTGCCCCTTAGGTACCCACCCTGTTTCCAGCTGGCTATTATTTTATGACTGGCTACTTAAAAAAGTCTCTGGAGGACGCTGATGTAAAGAGTAAATAACATGTGACACGGTTACTAAATGCATTTTTAAAATTCTCAGTGTTTGGTTGCGCGTTGATTTTTTTTTAAGGGGCGATAGTCTTAGACTCCTAACAAATAGCTGTAAAAGGGAAGCCGAAACAGTACAAAGGCTTAGCTCTTGTGTCGTAGTCTCTAGTACAAAAGGCATGGCGGGTAGGCACACATAATTTTTCTGTGGGAAGATTCTGGGGAGAGGGGCAGCACGAGGGGTATCTCACTCGTTAAGAGAAGTAGCAATATAAGGTTAGAGAAATAAGAATAGTCTCTTCTGTGAAATACATATATATGAACTGCGGTTATGAAACGTATATGTGCACGATCCTTCGCAGTAAAGCACTATTTAAGCAATAGTGACCCATTTTAGGACAGTTTATTGGGGTAGTCTGTGGACAAGGGGTCAGTGTTTTGTCCATCGTCATTTGTAAGTGCCCTCGATCTTAGATCTTAGTCTCGAGGTTCACATTTGGGGGGTCTTTTCTATTGGAGTTATATTTGGGTTTCAAAGCCAGCTTTGCATGTAACTGTTGGTCGTATTGAAAATGAATATCATATTGATGAGGCTTGAACTCTGATTATCAACACTATTTCTCGCAGACAACTTCAGTCACAGAATCCGTCCGCGGCACAAGTAAGGAAGACGCAGGAACAGATGGAATTTACAGTGGATCTGGTGTTGTGATTGGCATTGGAGTGGGATGTGCACTTGTGCTTGGAATCTTTATCACTTTTCTTGTTGTATCGTGCAAGCGACGGGAATCGTAAGTCTAATACTTTTTTTTACAAATCTTGACTCATTTTTTCTTTGAATACACGTGTGTTGCCAGTTTCAAACTTTGTGCTAATCATAAATGTGACCGTGATTTCTTGCAGTTGTCAAAAAGAATACGGCAAGGACTGTTCAAAACTTACAAAAAGACTTTAGGTTCCTTTAAAGTCTAACTTTACATTGTCTGTTCACTTCTTGTGATGCCTAGACTTTTGACTGTTAAATTTTGTTCCATTTCGACTCATCACAACCGTTTTGGATCAAATATTGAGTACTAAGATTTATTGTGTGCAGTTTTAAGCACAAGTAGATGATATGTCTAAATTTGCTTTTTGTAAGGATTCATTACAAAAGCAGCACCTAAACTTTGGTCTTATGAGTAAAAAGCATGTTCTTAGTGTAATGTGTTTAGCTTATAGATTCCACGCTACCACACATCTGTTCAATGACAGATCACAGAAGACATCAAAAATGTGGTAAGAACAAAACCGCGCAGCACGAGCCGCGGCAAAATGTTAATGGTGACGTCATCCAGTTCGTCTGTCCTCTAATCAATATTAAGTAGGAACCATTCAAAATGCGTGTATAATTCAGCATATCATAAAAATTGAAATTTTTCACACAGGAACAACGAACAGCAAGAAGCAAAACCAGCAGGTAAATTTTATTTTCATTGGCAGTTGATTGTAGAGTTTTATAGGATTGGAAAGGTACATCATCGAGTCCATTAAGCATTGCAATCAATACCTATTTTGAAATGTTTCACTTGCAATCAAAATCCATGTTGAAAGAATGTCACATTAAATGCTTGAACAGAAACATGGTGAATTGAATGCTATTACAAGATTGGGAGGACAAGTAAGGCAAGGCAACTGGATGGATTTTTGCAGCCCAGCGAGCGTAACGATCGAGAAGTAACATAATCAGGATTTAAGAAGAATATATAAGTGGGAGGGGGGCAGTTCTCGAATTAATCACTTTTTACCAGAATGTGTCACTTTTTACCAAAATACATCGCATTTAACCAGCGTGCACTGCGCCCCGTTTGTTGTGGTCAGTGTATTGCGTTACATAGCATTACTACTGTAAGGACATTTCCTATATGTACTCAAATGTCTTGTAAATCTACTTTCTTAAGTAAAGGCAAACCAACTTATCGCGGGTATTACATAGTAAATCAACTATCTTGATCACTAGTGAAGGAAAGTTCAATTAGAGCAACGAAAGGAGTCACTTGATCAATGAATAACTGCACCTTGCGTAAGTTGACATTCCGGTAAGCCGTAAAGCAAGAGGTGTTGATAAGCCTGTGCGACTCCATTCGCTAGCGCTTTAATCCTCTGCCCTCAAAGTTAATATTAAGGTCTCTCTGAATGACTTTCCTTTGCGATGTGATAATAAGGATTACTTATAAGATGTCATTTCCCCATCTGTGTGTTCTTGAAGTTTGGCAAAGCCGGATGAGCTTGTGTTACAGAACGCAATATTTTTCTTCTGCGCGCACGCCTTCTTCTTCGTCTTTAAGTATACTTTTTCTCTCGCAGAAAATGACGTCAGAGATACGTTTTTGAAAACCTCCATCTAGGTACCCTCCATTGATTACGACCCCCCCCCCCGTTCCAAATAGAAAAAAAATTCCAATTCGCCTTGGTAGGTAGTCAATGAACTAACTAAAATCGCAATACAATGCGTAAAGGTGAAATAGAATTGACACAAGGCTTTGCAAAGTGCCTCAGGTTCTCGGGATGGATTGGAAAGTATGGGATATGTGAGTGACTGGCATTATTATGGATCTCAAATGCATTAGTAAGATTGCTATTGCTGTTTTTACATTCATATCGGCCAAAGATTGCATCGTGTTATCGCTGTCCTTAACTATAAAAGCACCGATCATGTCCGTCAAAGATGATTAGTAACTTAGTTTTAGTAATTAGTAAGAGCCTAGAACCCAAAATGATTGTCCTGTAGAATCTATCACTTAAATAGATTTTGATTAAATATTGTTTTTAATAGTTTTTAAAAATGACTTTTGATCCTAGTTGGGAACCCAGTGGTCGAGATTCAAATGGAAAGATCAATAGAGGATGTTTCAATCTCCGGAGAACAAGACGGTCAATCGACATACCAAGACCTTCTTACCAATAATGGTGAGTTAGTAAAGAATACAGTGTAACGGTTACTTAGATTGTTTTTCGGCGGTGTCCATCCAAAGACCTTTAATGATCACATTGTTTTTAGAGCACATACCCGTGGCGAGGGTAGGGAGCTCTCTTTTTATATTAGCTTGAACACAAGTCTTTTGAGCTTGTATGATGAACTCTTGGCGGGAAGAAAACAGTCAGTGATGTTACCACACGGACAAGTCGTGATCACTCTCAGATACTGTTCATTGTGTTTACGTTAGCATGCCAAACAAGTTTGACTTAAATTATAAAAATGTGATTGCTACTTCATACTCCATCTGAAGAGTGTCGGCGTGCATCTTGAGGTAACATTTTGAAGTGTAGCCATTACAAAGTAAGACACTACATTGCAGTAAGCTCAGGTTGTAACTTCTCAATTCTCAGGCACTAATAATGATAAAAAGTGACTTTAAGTGAAAACGGAAAACAGACATTTACACTTGCCTTAAGACAATTTATACACCAAACTTTATTATCAACTTTACGATGTTAAACAGACGTCTTCCTTCTATGCTCTGATGCCTGTTGTTCTTCCCAAGAAATAGTTACTAAATTGTTCTTGACGGTTATCCCTAATCAACCATTTTCATTCTTTGAGGGGAAGTTTTATACATTCATTTATTAAAAGAAATGTTTTCCCATTTCCACTCCAGGACAAAGTAATGGTGGAGCTGATCCTTCGGAAGGTTACTATGGTTACTGTTCTCTTTACCAAAGTGTGGACAAGAACGCACCAGTTACAGTTGCACCAGTTTACCAAAATGTACACACACCAGAGTCAGCACCAGATTATCAAAATGTGCAGACACCAGTAACAGCACCAGACTATCAGAATATGCAGACCCTGAAGGGTGGCGTACCATATGCTCCAGTGCACAGCCTTGAGTCCAAACAGAATCAAAATATGATCTCCTAAAGGGGTCTGGTAGGCAAAATGTGTATGAGCCCCTTAACGAAAGTGGCTACTTAATTGCACGGAAAACTAACGGGCCTTGAGGTAATGACAAAGAAGCTACATTCGGTCCAATGTTGATTCAAGTCAAGTGCTGTTCGGGATCTATGAGTTGTCAGTAAAAAAGTCAACACTGACTCTCCATTTTTTCAGAGATTTGATAAAGAATATGCTTAGTATAAATTTTTTCAAAATTTTTTCTCTCTACACTTTGACATGAATTTTGTTACAATTTAGAAGTGAAATTATTATTTTTTATGAAGAAGTAGTGAGAAACAGGTGTTGCCGAGGTCGGTAAGGAATTTTTCTTCCTTTTGAAGGTTAAACCGTGTTTTGTGTACCGCAGGTGGACTTACCGGCGGGCATGTCTCGATCGGTCATCCCAAGTGGGACGCAGAAAAAAAAGTTTCCAAAATGAGAGAGGATTATGCTGAACTTTGATCTTTAATATTTCTTGACATTTTTTACCATTTTCTTCCCTTTACACATAACATTTGTAGAATAAAGTGTATTATTATCCATCTACGCTTCGTAGAGTACAAATAACGCCATAGACGAGTACAAATATCACACGGTATTTGTACTGTAGAGTACCGGTTAAACAGGTTTTCTCGCATCGCGCAAGCGAAGAATTGGATTGTCGTTACAAAAAAAAAA